GGGAAACTTGTTACCTGTCTAGCTCTTCCTTCATCGTGAAGACAGGGCAGTTGTGTTGCCCAGAATTCTGTGCTGCCCTTTTGACCCCTCGGTACTGGCTTGGCTGGCCTTGGGCATGCCCGTCCCATCACAGAGGTCAGTCAGGGCTGCTCCATTCTAGGTTTGTTGGGTTGTGCTTTGAGAAGAGGGTGTATGGTTGCTGGTGTCACAAAGGCCCATGCCCCCCGGTGCTCCACCGTGTATGGGCCCTTCATCTTGGGTGCTTAGCAAGTGCCTGGCTCCTAGGCACCCCACACAAACATGCTATAGGCTTTGTCTGCTGCTAACCTGCAGCTGCCCTGCAAGGTATAGTCTGTGTCAGCCCCACACAGGTAAGGAGATGAAGCTTCCTGGGGCATAGCTGCTTGCCTGACATCACACAACAGATCCTGGCTGGAACTCTGCCCGGTGAAACCTCAAATCAGATGTGGCTAGTCCAGGCTGAGCCTCCTAGTCAGAAAATCCAAAATCTAAAGTGCTTCAAAATTGAAAAGTTTCCGAGAGCCAACATGCCACCACAAGTAACCTGACCTCGAGTGAGCAGGTACAGTCAGACGCAGGTGGGGACTGACCACCTGCCGCTGATTGCTGCTGCCTCACAGACAGTGCAGGCATTCTAGTGAGGTGGTTGTGCACTGTAGTTGCCTTGAACACACTGTATTTTACTGTGCTGGTGCTGTGTCATACTTTTACTGTGAAGTGCGTAAGTGTGAGTAAGTTTAAGTGAAGAATTACTTACTGGTAGTGCAGAAACCTAGTATGGTGGTGCCACACAGCCAGACTGTCCACAGGTGGCAGGGAGAGTGACACCTTCGCTTTTCGATAGTTCTGTGTATACAAACTTTGATTCATACTCACAATTATTAAAAGTACCTCCAGGCTATGTGTATAAGATATATATGAAACATAAATGAATGTCATGTATAGACTTGGGCCTCATCCCTAACATATATTGTGTGTTTGGAGATATTCAATAATTTGAAAAATTCACCCATCAGAAACACTTCTCGTCCTAAGCATTTCAGATAATAGATATTCAACCTATACTTGGGAAAGGTCTCAGACACCAGAGCACACTGACAGCAGTATTTGAATAAGGGCTATGTCCACAAATCAGAATGAACTCTGCACCCCAACTGCCTTTGACACCCACAGTAGTCAGGAAAGGAGGGCGCTATGAGGTGTGTTCCCTAAGTCATCTGAAAGATTCAGAAATTTTCCCGTGTTCCTGAGTAAGGATAATTGTTAACCCTGTCCACAAAGCAGCAGTGAATTAAGCAGTGCTTACAGAACAGTCCAGGAATGTTTAGAGATGGGCTGCTCCTTTGGAAGTTGATTTCACTGAGAACTACGTGAATGCTGAGGAAACATGACCCTCCTTATTGTTCTGTGAAGAGATTTAAAGTGATGAAAGGCACGGTGGCCAATGCCTGTAATCCTAGCACTCTGGGAGGCTGCAGTGGGTAGATTGCTTGAGCTCAGGAGTTCGAAACCAGCCTGAGCAAGAACAAGACCTCGTCTCTACTAAAAATAGAAAAACTGGTTGGGCCTTGTGGTGGGTGCCTGTACAACTATAGAGGCTGAGGGAGGAGGATTGCTTGAGCCAAGGAGTCTGAGGTTGCTGTGAGCTATGACACCACGGCACGCTACTCAGGGCAACAGAGTGAGATTCTGTCTCAAAACAAAAATTGCAAGCAGCATGTGCACTTATGTGGGGTCACATGTGTTCTTGGGAAGACAACATAATGTGTGTGATGTTTTCCTGAAAGGCTCTGGAAAAAGTAGCCATGCTGAGTGCTCTAGGAGAGGCCCTTCTGGCCCAGGCATGTGAGGAGCATAATAATTTGACAGAACCCTCTTCTGGAATGTGATCTGGAGGAAAGGTCCAGACGCCTTGGGAAAGGTGATCTGGGGAGGCTTCAGGCCTGGCCAAGCTGAGGGTTCTGTGACAAGGAGCCAGAGGGGCAGGGAGTGGTGAGGGGAGGTTCAGAGGGTTGGGCCCAGTGTCTTTAGGGAGCTTGGTGCAGAGAAGGAATCCGTAAATAAAACCTCCGCTGCTTGTATATGGCAAGCTTGCATTCAGACATAAGGCTTGGCTGTCTGCACAGCAGAATAAAGAACATACATGTGAGCCACAGCAATAGTAATGGGCTATCAAGAGCGCTTGGTGTTTTGTTTTTTCCCCCATAGTGGTGGTTTCTGTCCCATCACAGTATATTAAGCTACAGAGCGTTGAAGGCGATCCTTCTGGCAAGTTAGACCTCTTCAGACTAGCTGTGTGTGGCCTTGTAGTCCTGTTTCAGGCTGTTCGCCACCCTAGCCCTTCAGCTGCCACCAGTCCAGTGAGAACAGCCTGGCTGCCTACACCACGTTGCAGGGCCCTGGAGCCTCTGCTGCTGGGAGCCTGAGCGCTCTCCCTCTCTGGGTTCTGTATGATCAGCCCTCTCCTGTACCATGTCATTAGCACGTCGTGCATAAGAATGAGCACCAGCCCAGTCTGAATGTCAGCTGGATCCTGGGGTGTGGCTGCCTTTGTAATTTTTCTTCGTATGGTTTAACTTCCTGGTCCAGTGTTTTCCTGGGGGCTTGTGCAATCAGTGTCTTGCTTTTTTGTATCTCTGAATCTTCCTGACACCATTGATTTTACCCTTGAAAGTATGAAAGAGGGATATATGTACACATACACAGAGGCACATGTCTATACACATTACAGGGTGGCCATAAAGTTTGTGTGCAATTTAAAGCCGTGGGCGATTGCACGCGAACTTAATGGCCACCCTGTACAATAGTACTTTCACCTATACGCACAACATGTGTCTATACACAGACAAAACACAGGCACATGCAATATACATCTGCACATCACCCAGACACATCTCATACAGTCTACAAAGCAGTGTCTTAGAACCTATTAGAAACGTAGATTAGAATATGGCCCCAGCGGAGCCCCTGATTTCTTAGATTTGTATCACTGGGGACAATAGAAGCCAATTAGTGATGTTAATAGCTTTGACTTTGCAAAGTGGGATGGAGGACAAATGTAGTCCAGAAACTGTTGTGCTGATGGCAATCTAAATAAAATTGAATGTCTGCGTGGGGCCTGGTAGGCTATGCTTATGGAGTGAGAAGTGAAGCTGTAGCACTTGCTGCCCTGAGAACATAGTTTCAAATCCTGCGGGGGCAGCTCTTTAGTTATGTGCATGCCTTCTGAGCAGAAGAGAAGCCAGGAACAGCCTGCTGCTGGTTTTTCAAGGTCATTTGGTGTGAGTTGCTATTCACTTCTCAGAGGGGCTTTGCTCCTGACAAGGGAGGTTTTTTTTGTTTTGTTTTGTTTTGTTTTTTTAATTTCTGGGTAGCTCTCAGAGCACTTCTTTCTAAGGCACTTTGCAAATAGAATTCTTTCTTTTTTCATTAGCAGGTGACCAAAGGTGCTTAGATTTTGGCAATAAATCTAAGGTCATATAATTCTCCATTTATATGATGCAGTGATTGTTTATTAAATAACAGGTATCAAGTCCTTTCAGGTAGGTCTATGAGTGCTAGATGTCAGGAGCTTTGATAGGATAAAGAAAGTTCAAATGCACCTGAACTCTTTAAAATGAAATGAAATACTGAGTATTGAAATGACATGTTGGAAGACTCTGAACCATGAAAGGACCTCTCAGAATGCACCATCAATTTGTGTGTGTGTTTTGAGACAGAGTTTCACTATGTTGCCCTCAGTAGAGTGCCTTGGCATCACAGCTCAAACTCTTGGGCTTAAGCAGTTCTCTTGCCTTAGCCTCCCAGGAAGCTGGGATTACAGGCACCCACCACAACACCTGGCTATTTTTTGGTTGCAGTTGTCATTGTTGTGGAGCAGGCCCGGACCTAATTCGAACCTGCCAGCCTTGGTGTATGTGGTGGGCACCCTACTCACTGAGCCATGGTTGCTGCTCCTGCACTGTCAATTTAACAACATCTTATGTCATTCTGTGTTTTGCAATCCAGCAGCTGCTTGATTTGGTATTGTTCTTGAGACCTTCGTAGTTGTGATACAAGTTCAAACTAGAAGTTTCTGTTAGTGCCTGCCTCATATACATAAGAAATCCAGCTTGCTCAAGTTCAGTGGCCATTGTCTGAAGCTGTTAGGTTGGGCTGTTTTGTGACAGCTCATTTTTCAAGCCTGTCTACACAGAGAACAATGTGCCCTCTTTTGGGCACATCCAGCAGGATGGACTTGAGCTCTCTGTCTTCCCCCAGGCAGAGAGGACTGTCTCTGAGGACTTCAGCTCCTGGCTTTGGAGTGGAGACATCCAGCCCTCTCTGTACTCAGAGTAGTGCACACTGCTGCTTCCAAAAAAAAAAAAAAAAAAAATAGCCTTTGTCTTTCTTATTTTTCATAATACACTACTTATTTTCAAGGTTTTATTGAAAAATGAATTT